CCAGCCGTACAGAAACAGCCCTCCTCACACACCCTCTCCCCCTCACAGCCAGGCTCAGCACCAGAGAGGGAGCGGCATGTTCGCTCACATGCACTCCCACAGGCTTCATACACCTGGCCTACAGGGCACTTCATCCCTGAGAACATCATATCAGATTAGAATTTTACATATATTTTAATTTCATTTATATTTTAACTTAATTTATATTTATATTTTTTTACACACAGCAGCTTCAACAGTGAAAATACCATACTTGTTTTTTTTTTGTTTTTTGTTGGTTGATGTAACAATTGTCCAGGGCTATACAGCATGCAAATACAGACAGATGGTCTTTGTTAAAATATGTATTTTCTTGTATGTTAAGATCTGAACAGAAGTTCAGCTAATCTGAGCAATTTTGAATGTACTGTATATGCTTTTTTTTTCTTTTTTAATGTACAGAATCAGTTAATTTTGTTTGTCTCTTTGTCATAGATCTGAAAACTGTTTTAGCCTTAGATAAAACACACAGCTTTTGGTTACAGCAAAGTAAAGGATTGTACATCAGTGATAAGATGCATCTTAGCAGTAGTATTTGCTCATAGAAAATTACATTTATGCAAATAAAATAAGTGGTCAAATACACTACAATATTTTGCGGGGTGTTTGGCTTTTAATAATTCAAGAACAGTAACTGACTTATGAAAAGCATCGTTTAAATTTTCATGACAAAAAAATTGCAAAGTTAAACTTTGGGTTTAAAAATGTAGGCACAGCCCACAATGACTGTTCATTGTAAACATTAAATTAAATGTGTATCTTGGTCATGTTTCAATATAAAGATGTAACTGAGTTCAAAATGAAAGGTACCACAGAGTGAAGGGGATCTCCAGTTGAGCAGAACTCCTCTTGCAGAGCAGGTAGCTGCATAAGCAGCCAGAGCAGAGCAGAGGCACTGCTCACTGTCTTCACAGGCGCATACATCATACCGGCAAAACCTCTGGAATGGAGCAGGATTCACCAAAAAATGGCATGAGCTGAACATGTCTGACATGATCACTGCACATGCCTCTTCTGCAAAATGCACTGAAAGAGCCAGATAAAGATAATGTTGATATTTATTGTTTTTAACAGATTGCAATTCAATGGGTGTCCAGACGATACCTCTTTTTGGGTTTGTTGCACATGGATCAGGGTCAGACTTGTGAGTAGATTCACAGTCTCCATTGATCCTCCATGCCTGCCCAAAAGCCTGAGGACTTGCTTCAACCAGCCCAGAACCAGACAAGAAATCATCACCATGGTTCCCATTGTAGTTCCCGCAGAGACCACAGGTCTGTCCAGCCCATCGTGGTCCTAGCTGGAAAAGGCATTCAACGTTTAGTTCCACCGGTTGCTTAGTACTCTGCATCAGTATTAGCACCAAAAACATTCGTATTCAAACCTTCAGAAGAACACGACCCCGACCGTCCCAGTCCAGACGGAGGTCATCACTGAACTTCACTCGAACAGAAGACTGAACTGATCTCGTAATATGCAGGTGGCCTGAAAGGGATTCATTAAGAAATAATGTAGACATCTTTTGAATTGAAAGATATTTCAATTAACGGTTCCACAGTGAGAAAATCCCTGCATATCTGGACCATTGTTCTTGGCTAATAAGTTATAAATATAACATGAAACAACCTACAACTGTCAAAAAAGCTTTTACATACAGTATATATATATATATATATATATATATATATATATATATATATATATATATATATATATATATATATATATATATATATATATACACTATATTGCCAAAAGTATTTGCTCACCCATCCAAATTATTGGAATCAGGTGTTCCAATCACTTCCATGGCCACAGGTGTATAAATTCAAGCACCTAGGCATGCAGACTGTTTTTACAAACATTTGTGAAAGAATGGGTCGCTCTCAGGAGCTCAGTGAATTCCAGCGTGGAACTGTGATAGGATGCCACCTGTGCAACAAATCCAGTCGTGAAATTTCCTCGCTCCTAAATATTCCACAGTCAACTGTCAGCTGTATTATAAGAAAATGGAAGTGTTTGGGAACGACAGCAACTCAGCCACGAAGTGGTAGGCCACGTAAACTGACGGAGCGGGGTCAGCGGATGCTGACGCGCATAGTGCGAAGAGGTCGCCAACTTTCTGCAGAGTCAATCACTACAGACCTCCAAACTTCATGTGGCCTTCAGATTAGCTCAAGAACAGTGCGCAGAGAGCTTCATGGAATGGGTTTCCATGGTCGAGCAGCTGCATCCAAGCCATACATCACCAAGTGCAATGCAAAGCGTCGGATGCGGTGGTGTAAAGCACGCCGCCACTGGACTCTAGAGCAGTGGAGACGCGTTCTCTGGAGTGACGAATCGCGCTTCTCCATCTGGCAATCTGATGGACGGGTCTGGGTTTGGCGGTTGCCAGGAGAACGGTACTTGTCTGACTGCATTGTGCCAAGTGTAAAGTTTGGTGGAGGGGGGATTATGGTGTGGGGTTGTTTTTCAGGAGCTGGGCTTGGCCCCTTAGTTCCAGTGAAAGGAACTCTGAATGCTTCAGCATACCAAGACATTTTGGACAATTCCATGCTCCCAACTTTGTGGGAACAGTTTGGAGCTGGCCCCTTCCTCTTCCAACATGACTGTGCACCAGTGCACAAAGCAAGGTCCATAAAGACATGGATGACAGAGTCTGGTGTGGATGAACTTGACTGGCCTGCACAGAGTCCTGACCTCAACCCGATAGAACACCTTTGGGATGAATTAGAGCGGAGACTGAGAGCCAGGCCTTCTCGTCCAACATCAGTGTGCGACCTCACAAATGCGCTTCTGGAAGAATGGTCAAAAATTCCCATAAACACACTCCTAAACCTTGTGGACAGCCTTCCCAGAAGAGTTGAAGCTGTTCTAGCTGCAAAGGGTGGACCGACGTCATATTGAACCCTATGGATTAGGAACGGGATGTCACTTAAGCTCATATGTGAGTCAAGGCAGGTGAGCAAATACTTTTGGCAATATAGTGTATATATATATATATATATATATATATATATATATATATATATATATATATATATATATATATATATATATATATATATATATATATATATATATATATATGTATGTATATGTATGTATGAAAATGTTCTTATGCAGGCTCATATATATATATATATAAATATATATATATATATATATATATATATATATATATATATATATATATATATATATATATATATATATATATATATATATATATATATATATATATATATATATTTATATATATATATATATGAGCCTGCATAAGAACATTTTCATTCTATGCCTTTTTTTATGTCTCTTTATGTCTCTTTGAACCCACAGTTGGCCTCAGCAGAAGGCTGCTCACACTTAGCCTGGTTCTGCTGGAGGTTTCTTCCTGTCACTGCATGCATGCTCGGTATGACGGATTGCTTTGGAGTCGATGACAATGCAAGAGAGTTTCTACTGTTGCCACATACTCATCCAGAAGGAGAATGTCCTGCAAAGTCAATGACTCGATGACTCAGCTGGGTTTGTTTATTGGAAAATATTTAACCAGTCAGACTTTATGATTCAACTGAATTGTGTCTGTAAAGTACCTTGAGTATACATCTTGTTTGGAATTTGCACAGTGTGTAAGTGTGAATTGAACCACATTTATCCAAAAGAATGGATTCAATTTTAAAATCCCAATAGGAATTGGAATATGTCCTAACCTGTAGAATCAGACAGTCATTTAACCAGACCCTGACTGACAAAGTATTAGGGAAATATCTTCAAAAGTGTTCGAATAAAGAAGAACACATTTACGAAAATACATCTTAACATTAAAAACAGACAGAGGTCACAATTCCTCCTTAATGATATAAAAGATACATTCTGTTTTAGAAGAGTTTGATGGCAGTGTTTCCACCACAGCATGTTATCTAGTTCAGTAGGTATAGACTTTCTTTTATGGTGCCAGTTTAGATTGAGAGTGTTTTTCTTTTGAAAAAAAAAACAGCAATGTAAAAACAATATTTATTCAGGTGGTACTGTCTGATATTTGTTTAATAATATGAAACTCTGGAGTGTTGAAAAAAAAAAATTGTACAGTTTAATTTGACTGAGAGTGAAATTTGGCTCCACTTCCATATGCCAAAAATACACACCATGATTCATTGGGGTTTGGATGTCCATACTGTTGACATAGACGATTCCTCCATGCTTGAGTTTTACTGTCATGTCCTCCAGAGAGGGCAGACTGAGTGTCACTGAGCGTGTGCACACAGCATCCTGATCATCTGCACACTAGGACAAGAAACAACCAAAAAAGGCTTCTTAACCATTCAATCCATTTTTTAATCAAGAAAATGTTACAGGGGGGCAAAAATATCATGAAATAGGCGTAAAAACATGATTTACCTGCACATTCTCAATTATGACTGAAAACTCATTATTTGTACAGTCCTTTGCCAGGAGATACTGACAGTGGCCAGTAAAGGTGAAATATTTGTTGTCAAAAGTCTTGAAGTGAGACTGTCCAACAACTAGGCATTCACCTACACAAAACCAAAGAGGATGTAACACCTGCAATCAGCTGGACAGGGCATTAACAAAATGCATGAATGTGGTGCTCACCAGGGCATTCTTCGTTGGTACATTCCCAGGACCCATGGCGGCAAACACTTGAATAGCAGATAAAATATTGGTGAGGCAGCTCAATGGGATTACTGTTTATGAATTGGCTTATTCTATGATTTACCATGTGTTACAGTCTTGAGAGATGGTAGATCCTGGAGGGAAATGTCGTCCCATGTGTGCGCAGGAACACTGAGATACCTCCACACAGCGATTTCCATCCAAAACCTTTCCAGCTGAAACACATGCACATGTCATGTTAATGCTGGCAACACTACAACACAAGGCAGAGTTATATTTAGTGTGTGAGAGCTTACTAGGGCATGTACAGCCATCCACACATTCCTCCTTACAGACCTCCTGTATGTTGAGACTATGGCAGGTGGTGGAGCAGGACTTGGTGCATTCACTGTACTGCATGCCTATCGGGCACTTGGGAACTGCAAGACACATTGAACATTTTACCTCACAACCTTTTTTAATGCCTTTTCAGATTGAACAAACTTACAACACTGGGCCTCCTCCATCCAGCCATGCAGAAGAATCCCGTGAGCATGGCATGTGCGAGCATACTCCAGCAGAAAAGGACAGGAGCAGTCTTCTGCATTTTTCTGTTCACAGTGGCAGGCCTCCGCCTGACACAGCGACAGGAAAGCATCGGGAGACACCAGGTGGGAGCAATGGAGGAACACGCTAGAGCTCTGCAGTACACTGCAAGTGGACAAAATCTGCAGAATCAGACATGAACATTCAGTTGGTCATTTATAAAAACGCAACACTTTATTTTATCCAAATATTTAAAAAAAAGATGTTGTTTAGATTGAAAATGAAAAATATAAAAAAAATGTTAATCAAAGCATACATTTTAAAAAGGTCTGAAACATTAACTTTCTAGTTTTTAACAACTTTAAATTGAGAAAAAAATTATTTTGTCAAAGGTTGAAACAAGTATCACACAATAACCCTTATAGATACTAAAATAATCAATTTAATCAGTATTTATTTATTTATTTTTTATATATTTTTTGTTTTTCACAAGCTAGGGTTGGTAAATAATTAGGGGTATTGATGTTACACCTGTTTATTTTATAAACGGCAATTTGAGAGAAACAGTAAAATTTCTATTTCCATATTTTCCAACTTTTAAAATATACGATTTGAAAGCAATGGGAACATAATTAGTTGAAATAATAACTGGAGAAAGCTTTTCTAGGTGAATTTATTCTTATCTCGACTTGTTTAAAATTATTGACATAAATCTTATTATCCAAAAATTTTGTCACAGTTATTTCAAACTTCTAGTGTCTTATTTGGATTCAGAACAACCCAAGGTATTATAGAATTTTCAAGGGAAGGTAGATTATCACATAGTTTGAAACACAAAATGTGTGGTGTGCATTTTCACTCATACAACTTATCTATTACAATTTGAAGCCAAATCTCAGAGCAATTTTTTTATTTTTTTTTATTTTTATTTTTTGTAATTCCTTTGGCTTTTGTCTCCTACAGATTTTAATCAAGAGACTACATTTTGATATTTTCTTTAACTTTGCAAAAATAATTCAGTCAGACAGACTGAATGGTGAAGGTATGTAAATAATAATTTCAGGTCCTGCTATACAGTCCTAAATGGATTTAGACAAGGGTCATTTTAAAGTATGAATATGTTTTGATCTAAACAATGCTGACTGAATGATTAGGAGAAACTATGACTATTATAAACTTTTCAAGGAGCTTTCTTCCATGATCGTTCCTTTCTTCCCTTTGCTCCTGACCAGCTTCCCTGCTCTGCTGAAGAAATATATCCCGACAGGATAAGGCTGCCACTACCATGCTTTGATGTAAACGAGTTTTCTGAATGTTTCAATGGAAAGAACTTACACATGAGTTTTTAACAGAGGTGTCAAGTAACAAAGTAAAAATACTTCCTTACTTTACTTAAGAAGATATTTTGGCTATCTATGCTTTACTGGAGTAATAATTTTTTAGACACTACTCCTTAAACTTTCTTGCAATAATATCTGCATTCCACTCCTTACATTAATTTTTTTTTTTTTTTTTTTGTTACATTTAAGCCATTTTTTGTTATGGCCTGTTAATAAATAAAAAATAATAAAAACCATCAAAATAATTTGTTTCCTCTTGACAATTATTTTTTTTATGATTGGACGTCAACTTGTTCTTCCCCTCATAGAAAAATAAATAGCTGTTCAAGATGATGCAAAGTAAAATTTCACATTATTGCAATTAGTAAAACAAATAAAATTAAGTATATGGAAGTTATCATCCAAATTGTAGAAAAAAGTTTCCTTTAATAGGTTAGTGCAATGTAAGGTTTAAAGCGTCTTTTCTCAACATTGTTTTTCCTGTATTACTTTTACTTTTATACTTTAAGTAGTTTTAAAACTGGTACTTGCACCAGTTTGTTTTTACTTGAGTAAAAAGATTGATATTCTTATTTCTTTAAAAGTTTTTTTAAACAGTAGGTTTATACTTCTACGTGAGTAATATAAATAAATGCTTTTGAAACCTCTGGGTTTTAACAAATGCTCCCCACATTTTTCTTCACTGGAAAAATAGAGAATCGTAACCATTTTCCTTTTGCTTTACATTAACACACAACTTTGTGTCAGCATATAAAAAAAGGGAAATAAAGTGCCATAATTCTAATTTTTAATTTGACAGATAATAACTATATTCAAAAAAACCCACTGTAAAATAAAAAGCTGAAAGAACAGATATAACAGGAAGTGGTGCATACTCTTGAATTTTCAAGATGTTGTACTTTTTGATTGAAACAATTGAGATTTCCTACTCATTAAAATTCCTAACAATTAGTTAGTGTGTCATTGTACTATAGTTTAACATTAAAGTTACTTGTGATACACACATGGAAAATTTTGCAATAGAGTAATTTATTTAGCAAATTGAAAGAGACAATTGGTGAAGTTCAGATGTTGTCAGATCTCACATGAACCCTTTCTATTAGGGTTCATATAAATTAATATTTATAATCAGATCAACTTGATGACATTCTTAAAAATGTTGATGTGAGTGTGATTGTCTGTTACCGCTGCTGTCCCTTTTGTGCTGTTACAGGATTGGGTGGGATCAGAAACCCGTCGACAGGCTTGGTCAGCTCCCTTCATTGCCCAGGAGTTTGCAAAATCATAACTATCCTCTGTTAGAAAGCCTGAAAGCACAGAAACATGTAGACGAACGGACATAAGAGATGACAGATTTGCTCCTTAATCTCACCATACCACAATTGTCTTTGCTTGCTTTTACTGTGTTATCTTTTCCTGTACTCAGTGGCTGCTGTTCCTGTTGCTGAGTGCTGGTGACTCAAATCGTTTCCTAAATTCCAGTTATAATGAACTCTCCTTTGTTCAGCTTTAAAACTATCAGCTAGACAGAAAATTGCTTTAAAATTTGTCTCATTTCAGTAATTCAATTTCAAAGCGAGAGAGAAGTATCATATATTTCAAATAGAGTGACATTTCCTGTCATTATTTCTGGTAATACTGCTGCTTTTGGTTTACTCAGGAAAAACCCTAATTATAATTCTCAGAAAACCAAACTTTTAAATGAAGTAAGATTAACTGAATCTCAGAGTAGGATCTACTGAGTATATCTCCTAATTCACCTACCCTCCTGAGCTGTGTATTCATCATGTGGAACTGCATTGAAGTTGCCACAGAGGCCACAGGTGCGGTTAGAATGGCGTTTGCTCAGCGTCAGGGCAATGTTGGCAGCATTATCAATGGTGACAGTGAAGCCAAACTCTTCACTCCAGAGCTTAAAAAACCCAAGCTCTGAGCCCGCAAATACAGAATGAGACGCATACGGAAGAGAGAGTCTGTTAAAAGGGAATAAAAAGAACATAGATGATACTTCATTCATTATAAATGCCTTTCTTTATTATTTTTGTGCATATTTTTTCTTTTGGATTTTTTCGCACCTTTTGCCTCCTTCAGAAAGTTGCCCATCTATTGACAGGTGCAGCTCGAAGACATCACCCAGAAACAATGTGGTTCCTGTTCTTTTGCCATTTTGAAAGTCACCTGTGGATTCAAAGCCATTTTTTTTACATCAGTAATATGGCTAAATAGTCATAAAAACAGCAATAGGATTTCCTGCTAACAAAAAAAGAATGCCATTTTCTTGATACATTCTACATCAAATACTTTTTGGTACCAATATATAAGGCAGGCTATACATTTGGAACACACATATTTATTTATTTATAGACATAGCTATTTGTCTTTTGAATTAATCCTCTATATGGGACTCACCTAGGAGTGTGAAAGACTGATGGTTGCAGTCCCCTGCCAGAAGATAGCTGCAGTCTCCAGGAAACTCATATATAACCCCATCAAAGGTATGAATATGATGTTGTGCAAAAAGACTACATCTCCCAGTCATTCCTGCCACGCATGCTGGATACACAATACACAAATAGGTGCAAAGTAGATACTGAGAAGGATATGATGCAGGGTTTATCATCGAAAGAAAGAGTTTACAGAAAACACTGACCTGTTAGCTGCAGAAAAACAAAAATATCTTGCAGATATCTCTTAACCTGCACCTAAAAAAAAAAAAACACAAAGGTTTGACTCTCACCATAAATTGCTATTCTCTAATTAATGAGAAAATTCATACACAGCTCCTTGTCGGTCCTACCTCCATCGCTCCAGATGCCACAGAGAAAAAACTGAATATCAGGACAAACACAAAACCCAAGTTTAGATCTTACATAGTCATGATCAATAACTACAATGGTGACCGCGCAAAGATACGTGGCTTCAGTAGAGGTTCTGCATTTTAACAGAGGTCGTACCCCCGCCCAGCTCCAGAGAGGTTTCCTTGAAGGGCACTCCCCCTCACCAGGTTATGTCAGGGAATATCATTCTGTCCACAACTTGATTCCTGCAGACTGCCACCATCAAACACAACTTAGCAGGACAATGCCAGGATGTGCCCCCTGATCGCCAGGCTGAGTGATTAGTCCACACATAACGCATCTGCGTCGGTGCCAACCCAAACAACTCTGGTGGAAAACACTCTCACCAGAGATATCTCACGCAATAACACTGCCTCTGTGGTGCCCTATGCATGTACTCCTGACTTGGTTGCACCAGAATCCCACACAGACATATACTGGGAGCGAGTGATGATAAACACTCTCAGGTCAAAACCTTTGAGATTATATGTACTCCAAAAATAAATAAAAAAAACTCTTTGAAATGCACACCAATCAATTTCTTGATCTATGATTGCTAAACTGTTTTATATGTCTACTTCTTTTGAAGCACCTTCTCAAAAATAAAGATGCAGTTATACTTTATACATCTTTACATCTTTATAGGAGATATTTGGCTTTAAATTGCATTCTATTTTTATAATATTTTTACCATGATTATTTTACACTATCGTAGCTTTCTTGTTGGTGTTTCCTTTTCCTATGCTTCCTTCCTAAAACACTTTTGCTGTTTTTAAGGGTCTTGTGTAAAACCTGATCTGATTAGGTCTGGTTTAATTTAGTGACTCACTAATGTTGACATAAAGTTCCTGCAATCTCAATATTTTATTGGCTCGAATAATCAAAGGTTGACTGTTTAGAAAAAAATAACTAGAAGGATGTAAACATGTTCCCTCATGCTTCTTTAGATGAGAGATGCAGCTTTTACATTTTTAGAATATAACTCCACCTTTTAAGCTGATCGAAGTATCTAGGAACTCTCTTTTAATAATCTTTTTTAAATCCTTAAGTTAATCCTTAAATAGATAAGAGTATATATTGATGCATCTAAATACCAAGATTTTAGGTCTAATAAGAAAATGAAACAGATTTCAAGAAAGACTATTTTTGTATCATGCCTTGGAATTATTTGTGTCACCTTTGATTTGGGGCTGTGGATTTCAAAGTATGATTTACTTCTGTTGTGTTGTCGCTAAGTTAATGTATTCTTAGAAAATATTATTTTGCAAGACAAATTTATGGATTCACTGATCATATGGGAGTTAAATTTTAAAGATTTACTGATGCCGCCAAATGATTAGTTTTAGGATAAATATAGGTTATATATTAAAGTATTGAACACACTTACTGAAATGTTTTAAATATTTTGTAAAAAAGCCTTTGTTGGCAATGACAGTTTCAAGATGCCTCAATTGCATGCTTTGGTCAGGTGTGATTTTGGCCCATTCTTCCAAACGAACATACTTAAAGTCTTGAAGGTTTGGTGGGCCTCTTCTATGAACTATGATCTTAAGTCAAGTTCCATAAATTTTCTATTATATTCAAATCAGGTGATTGGCTGGGCTGTTCTAGTAGCTTTATTTTCTTACTCTGAAACCAACTGAAAGTTTCCTTGGCTGTGTGTTTGAGGTCCTTGTCTTGTTGAAATTTTCACCTACTTTAATCTTCATCATCCTGGTAGATAGATTTTTTTTATCTAGAATTTCTGGACATTTTTCCATTCATCGTTCCTTCAATTATCTGAGGTTTACTAGTACCATATGCCGATAAACAGCCCCATGCCGTGATATCCCCACCTCCAAACTTCACTGTCGGTATGGTGTTTTTGACGTGTTGTGCAATGCCATTTGACATCAAGACATGTGTAATATGGCATCCAAAGAGTTCAATTTTGGTCTCATCTGACGACTAAAATCTACCAGAAATTCACAGGCTTGTCTCAATGTTACGCAGCAAACTGAACATGTCATGAAGCGCGGACAGAGGGACCCAGTATTCAAGTAGAGACAGTCAGTAGGAAAGTTCAAAACGTTTATTAAATAATAAAACAAAAAACTAAAGTGGAGCTGTGGCTCGCGGACACTGCAGGATGGGGAGCGGGGCACTGCCCAATCACAGAACTCTGCAGGAGAAACACAGGTAAGTGACCACGATCATCTGACAGATGATTATCTGAGTTGGCCACTTACCTGGTTTAACAGTCCAGTCCTAGAATGTCCCAAAGTGCTGCAGTCTCAGAGGATATGCTGGAAGCCGATCCTGGTCAGCGATCCAGAACAGACAGGAACAGACAGGGACAGGATCCAGATCGGGCAGGAACAGAAACAGGTGGCAGGATCCAGACTTCCAGGCATCCACAGGTTCCCAGGAGGGTTCAGAGTCTGACAGGGTCCTAAAGCGTGACCTGGTGGTCACGCACAGGAGCAGACAGGATTAGGTGCAGATGAGCAGGCTCAGTGGAAGAGGGTAGCCGAGACAGGACGTGGAACCAGAACTTGGAGGACTTTAAACTGGTCTCCTGCCTGGAGCCAGGCTTACTGAGATAAAAACTGAACCTCCCCACATAATGAGCCAAAAAAAAACAGAGGACTCCGCGGGGGAGGAACAGTGGACAATCAGGAGACGAGACAGACACAAGAACCCTCTTTCCACTAGCCGCCAGAATCCAGGACATGAACCATGAAATAAAAATAACAGACAGGCTAACAGAAAGACAAGTAATGATCTGGCACTGAATGCTCAGGCTGAACTGAATATAACCAAGAGGAAACAGGTGAGGGGAATACATTGTAATTGAGGCAGGGAGGGAAAATAACAGGTGAAAGGAATTACTAATTAAGGGAGAGCAAACAGGCCAGATCATGACAGAACAAGCTACATGCTTTTTCTTTGGCAATGGAGTCTTGCATAGTGAGCGTTTTCTTTGAAACAATTGTACCTGCTAATTCCAGGTGTTTTTGAGGCACTCCACAAGTGGTCTTTGGCTCTTGGACAACTCTTCTGATTATTTTTTTTCCCACTCCTCTGTCAGGAATTTTGCGTGGACAACCTGTTCAGGGTCGGATTATGGTGAAATTATGTTCTTTCCAGTTTCGGATCACGGCCCCAACAGTACTGAATCTAACATTTAGATGTTTAGAAATCCTTCTGTAACCAATGTCATCATTAATTGCAACAACAAGTTTTCAAAGGTCTTGAGAAAGCTCTTTACTTTTACCCATCATGAGATTTGTCTTGTATGATTCCAGAGACATCTTTTTATTGGCCATCATTTGTGGCTGAACCAGCTGATATTGGTTTGCACTGACTAGAAGGCAGGATTGCTTTCTAAATACTGAGAGATTTTAGCTGGTATCTTGACTTTCCATGCCTGCACCTCCCTTTCGTTAGGTGTTCATTACTTTTTTCCTGTGCCATTTCACAATATTACACATAACTGTGTAGATCTATTGTTTGATTTCTTTGTCTGTGGATTGCATATTTTTTTCTTACTGACATCTGTTGAAAATGTCCTGTCAGTTGCACAGAAAATGGTGGCATTTTCAATACTTATTTTACCCCCTGCTTACATTTAGTCTATTTAATAATTGAAACACAAAAAGACTCAATTTTGTGAACAGGAGAAAACAGATGTAGAAAAAAAAGATTCTTTACGTGGTATTCAAATTAAGCCTCTGTAATATTATGTTTATGGTTCAGTATAGATGCTTAATTTCTAATGTGAAGCTATGGTTTTACAGTTGTGGACTGCTGACAATGCATAATGGAGACAGCACAGTATAGCCCTCAATGGTTCAAAGAAAATAGCCTGCTGGAGCTCTGTGCTCATTCATGTGCAGCATATTAAATACATGGGCGCGCATTTCTTTTTCTGGGAGAATTACGTCATCGCACTATCCAGACTTTTTTTTAATTTTGTGTATCATTTTATTTAACTATGGTTTCAAGCTATGCTTTACAGAGGAAAAAAAACACATTTCTATTAAATTGTTTTGGGGAAAGTCAAAAATACGTTCAAAGTTTCACAGAATGCTACACTAGAGAGCATTTTCTTTATATTTGCTCCAGTGTTATTTTCTTTTTGTCGCCGTGTAGCGGTTTGGGGGCGGACCACTCCAAGTGCGCACTGCACACAGAGACAGACAGCGCCAGCGCGTCGGTGAATATCCGCTCTGCATACAGGCTGTTATTTAGGGGAAGCACTTCTTCATTTGAATTCCCATCTCCTCAGGCATTTGGAGAATTTATAGCTGATAAATCGCAATGGCGGCGCTGTCGGGCGGAGAGCGGTGCATCAAGTATTTGATGTTTGCCTTCAACCTGGTTTTCTGGGTAAGTGTGAGGGGGAGAAAATATTATCCATGTCCACTTGCATCCGGTCGGTTGTTT